CTGGAGTTATAGGTAGCTATGAGTGACCTGGTGTGGGTGCTGGGAATAGAACTCAGGTCCTCTGCAGGAGCATTATTCTTAACTGCTGAGCCATCTCTCCAGCCCCCTAACATTAATCACCCAAATCATTAAAAGCTGTAAAGACAGGGTTCTATAAACATGTGGTTGGTTCTACCTTAGATATGTTTTTGCCTATGAGAGCTGGTTTTTGATGTAGAGTTGAGTACCCCAATTGATCTGGTTTTTGTCTCCGGCCATTTGTTGAATCATCTGTCAGGACAATTGTGTGGAAGCACTGCCGGTTCTGGACAGCAGACATCAAACGAATGTGAAGCCAACAAATACATGTAGAAGAATCTTTAGGGCCCAGGAGGAAGACACACTGCAAACATCTAGGTTTAATCAAGGAAACAAAATGTGGTGACTCCCCGTGTCTACTTTACACAGCCAATTTTCTACGTGGTATAAATTCAGACACAGCATGAAATGTTAGCAGTGTCCCAGATCCCTTCCTTCTGGCCTCAAAGGAGAAGGAAGGGTATTTATTATCCATATGCTACTCATTAGTCTCTTACCCATAAATCCTTGTGTTAGGAAATTTAAACTGTTTTGAATGTCCCCAGGGCTAGTCTGTCCTATTCACTTTGTCAGCCAACGTGAAGAAATACTTTTTTGATGACCACTCTGGTTATTTAGCTTATATGGTAGGGACATTTTCCTTAGAGCCTTTTCACCAGAAATGGTTACCGGGTTTGTAATTTTTGTAAGGGGATACGGACCATTGGGCTGTCATAGTCTTGGAATGGCCTAATTGTCCTACATAACAGTTCGTTTGGGTTTGGGGTTGGCATTAAGAGTGTTATGTTCACCTAAAAGCACTCTGGGAACAACACAAGAGGTGTGGTCAGACCCGGTGCAGCTGTGGGAATGTTTTCACTCAACGATGTGGCAAGAGTTAAATGCTAAATATGGTTAATTCCCATTTCTGCCACACCACAAGGCCTTTTAAAAATACTTTGTGGGGGGGTGCCGCTGGGGATTAAACCCAGAGCTTTGCTTATGCTGAGCATACACTCTACTACTAAGCCAGACTCTGAGCCCCTATTATTATTTGCCGATTATCATTTTTAGGGCTGGGGATATAGCTCAGTAGTAGAGCACTTGCCTAGTGTGTGGAAGGCCCTGAGTTCAATCCTCAATACTGCAAAAAGATTTTTTTTGTTATATAATTCCTCCTCAATTGTATTAGCAATGGCCTGAAGGACTTAATTATAGATGGTATTGATGAGCTCCTGTGGGGAAGGCTGGATTTAGAGAAGTGTTGATTCTTTCACCATAAGAACAAGAGGGGATACAGCAGCCATCATTACCTTATTTTCATTTATTGATTTTTTTTCCATACACAGCTGATAAGCCTATCAGGTCATTTATGCAGTCCAACATGAAATGTGACATTAAGGCAAGAGAGGTGATGTCCAGTTTAATGCCTTCATCCCCCACCTCTGAAATGTGCTATCTTTGAACCAGCTGAAAACACATTATTGAGGTGTAGGAGAGATGGCCCAGTGGTCAAAAGCATTTACTGCTCTTCCAGAGGCCTTGAGTTCAGTTCCTACAAAGGGCAGCTGACACCCTCCTGTGACTCCAGCTTCAGGAGAGCCAATGCCCTCTTTGAGTTTCCACAGGCACCAGTACATATAGAGCAGACACTCACACACACAGGTATGTACATAGACCATTTTTCCCCATAAAGTATTGTCAAGGACCAGCAAGATGGCTCCAGTGGGTAAAGGCACCTGCCTGCAAGCCTGAAAACCTGAGTTCAGTCTCTGGGACCCACATGGCAGGAGGTGTGAACTGACTGCTGGAAGTTGTCCTCTGCTATGTGTGTTCAATGCTTAAAAATAATAACTCAGCCCGGCGGTGGTGGCGCACGCCTTTAATCCCAGCACTCGGGAGGCAGAGCCAGGCGGATCTCTGTGAGTTCGAGGCCAGCCTGGGCTACCAAGTGAGTTCTGGGAAAGGTGCAAAGCTACACAGAGAAACCCTGTCTCGAAAAACCAAAAAAAAAAAAAAAACCAAACTCAATGACATTTCACTATTCCACTGGGTGGATCCACTCTCACAGCTTATTTATTCAGCCATGGAGGGATGTGTGGATTGTTTTCAGTTTTTGGGCTATGAAAGTACTGTCACAAGTATTTGCAAACTTTTTTTTGGGGGGGGGTCAGAGCCTCATGTAGCTCAGGCTGACCTCATATTCATTTTGTAGCCCAGGCTGTTCTCGAATGCTTGCAAACTTTTTTTTTTTTTTTTTCGAGACAGGGTTTCTCTGTGTAGCTTTGTGCCTGTCCTAGAACTCGCTTTGCAGACCAGGCTGGCCTCGAACTCACAGAGATCTACCTGCCTCTGCCTCCCAAGTGCTGGGATTAAAGGCGTGCGCCACCACTGCCCGGCTACTTGCAAACTTTTAAAAACGATTCTTTTATTCTTTTATTTTCATTTTTAGTTGGTTGGTTTTTGGTTTTGGTGTTTTGAGATGGGAATCTCTCTACATAGTTCTGGTTGTCTTGGAACTCACTATGAAGACCAGGCCAAGTCTAAACTCACAGAAATCTACCCACCTCTGCCTCCTATGTGCTGGGATTAAAGGCCTTTGCCACCAGGCCAGCCTGACTATGATTATTCTTAAACACAACGTTTTATTTTTTATTTTATTTATTTATTTTTAATTTATTTTTAATTTATTTATTTTATTAATGAACATGAAGGGAGTTAGAAATGCTGCCATACATTTGTAACCTTGGTTTTGTTAGTGGCAGCTGTAGTCTAGGCCGGTGTTTCCAGGTTCTTGGCCTCTTTTTTTTTTTTTTTAAAGATTTTATTTATTATGTATACAGTGTTCTGTTTGCATGTATCCCTGCAGCCCAGAAGAGGGCACCAGATCTCATTACAGATGGTTGTGAGCCACCATATGGTTGCTGGGAATTGAACTCAGGACCTCTGGAAGAACAGCCATTGCTCTTAACCTCTGAGCCATCTCTCCAGCCCCGGTTCTTGGCCTCTTATTCAACAGATTTGCAAAGAAACACAAACTTTATTCAAGGCAAACTAATGGGACAGATTAGAAAGGAATATCCAGTCAGGATTGACAATGAGCCACAGGAATGAAGGTCCTCAAAGGCTCCAGTTACTGTTTGGGACTTCTTTTATAGGGTTCAAGAGAAGGAGGAGTTGGGTTGCTAAGGGGGATAGTTTGCATGGCTCTACTCTGAATGACAGATTAAGTTATATAACTATTTCTCCAGTGTGCATGCCCCATCCCATAATACATTTGATTTTAATCATATCCTTAAATCAGTTCATGCATATGTATTGAGAATATTTTTGAATAGACTCTGTCTACGTTTGATGATTGTTAAGGGGAGGAGAAACTTATTCTATAGTTCAGAGAGGGTGTGCATGCATCTCAGTGCAGGATAGGTACATTATTTGGAGAGGAACTTACACTTGTATTGTATGTGTGGGTAAATGTCTCAGATTTCAAGCACATTGTTAGCAGAGGGGTGTGTGCATAGCCCAAACCAAGTGGAGTCCCAGGTTACTAAACTACCACCTATGCTAGCCTGCTTCATTCAGCAGTCTGGGGAACTCTGGGTTCTGAGAAATGGGGTGAGGTAAGAATTATATATCATTAAAAAATTAGAGCCAGTTAATTAATTAAAAAGAAGCATTGAATTTCTCCTGACATTCCCCAATACTCCCCCACCCCATACACAATAGTTATTTCTTTCAAGGCTATCTTGTGGTTAACTGCTGGCCTGAGCTGCCTCCTGGGTCTGGAATGGCACTTCAGACATCAGGCTGCAGGGGCCACGCCCAGTCCTAGTCCTTGCTCCTGGAGCTTCATTTTTCTCCCAGCAGTAAAAGAGGAAGGACAACATCTGTCATGTTGTCAGTTCATCATGTACATATTTTTGTAAGACCCTAGACTAGAGGCTAAGTCCTGGTGTGTAGAATTCATGAGATTATCTATGGTTAAAAGTTATGAGGTAGGCTGGAGAGATGGCTCAGTGGTTAAGAGCACTGGCTGCTCTTCCAGAGGTCCTGAGTTCAACTCCCAGCAACCACATGGAAGCTCACAACCATCTGTAGTGGGATCCGATGCCCACTACTGAAATAAAGGTGTACTCATATACATAAAATAAATAAATTTTTTAAAATGCCAGGCAGTTGTGTCGCACTCCTTTAATCCCGGCATTAGGGAGGCAGAGGCAGGGGGATCTCTGTGAGTTCAAGGCCAGCCTGTGCTACAGACTGAGTTCCAGGAAAGGCGCAAAGCTACACAGAGAAACCCTATCTTGAAAAACGGGAAAAAAAAAAAAAAAAAGGTATGAGGCTGGGTTTGATGAGGAACCATCCTTTAATCCCAACATTCCAACAGGCAGATCTCTGTTACTTTGAGGCTAGCCTTGTCTACATAGCAAATTCCAGGCCCGCAAGAGTTATGTGGTGAGACCCTACCAAAAAAATGGTGACTTATTTCAGGATAACAATGTTGTCTCATATAATATTATAACTCACCCAGATCTATCCCTGAATCTTTTTTGTTTTACTGTTTTGTCGAGACAGGGTTTCTCATCTGAGACAGCGATGTCCTCAAACTCACTCTGTAGACCAGCCTGGCTTCGAACTCACAAGAGATCTGCCTGCCTCTGCCTTCCAAGTGCTGAGATGCGTGTGCCACCACCGCCTAGCTATTCTTGGATCTTGGTCAAAAGACTTAATGTTTCTTCTTGTTAGAAATGCCTGGGAGCGGCCGGGCGGTGGTGGCGCACGCCTTTAATCCCAGCACTCGGGAGGCAGAGCCAGGCGGATCTCTGTGAGTTCGAGGCCAGCCTGGGCTACCAAGTGAGTCCCAGGAAAGGCGCAAAGCTGCACAGAGAAACCCTGTCTCGAAAAACTAAAAAAAAAAAAAAAAAAAAAAAAAAAAAAAAAAAAAAAAAAGAAATGCCTGGGAGCACAGGGAAGTGTTGTACAATGTCAGATGAAGGACAGTACTGTCTTCATTTCACCTTGAGCTGCATTGGCTGCTGTTGTTTTTCCACAGTGAATCTTTGCAGCTTCGTGAAAAACAAACAAAACATTCATCCGAGAGAGAGAGAGAGAGAGAGAGAGAGAGAGAGAGAGAGAGAGAGAGAGAGAGAGAGAGAGAGAGAGCCAGCAAACTCTGCTCAGCGGCTGCCACACTGTCAGGAGGATATATTTCTTTCCCTTTTCCCAGTTCACCAAAGTGTCTGGGTTCTCCAGAATGGCTTGCAAAACTTTCCAGGTCCTTGACCCCTGCCAGGTTTACGTGATGGCCTCCCGCTTCTTAAAGAAATGGTTTCTCTTATGCGTGTATGTGTTTGCCGGCAGGTGTGGATGTACCACTTGCACGCCTGGTGCCTACAAGTCCAGAGGAGGACAACCGATCGTCTGGAGTGACAGGTGGTGCTGAGCCACCTGATGTGGGTGCCACGAACAGAACTTTGTCCTCTGTTGAGCCATCTCTCCAGGCGCCCCGCCACTGCCCCCTTTGAGATAGGGAACACTCTTAGAGGAGGCCAGTTTGGAACTCACAGTGCAGCTCAGGCTGGCCTCGAAACTGCAGCGATCCCTCTGCCTCAGTCTCCTCAGTGCTGCGAGGACACTTGCGGCTCGGTTTTCATGCACTTTCAGTCATCCGAAGGATAGCCTACGCTGAGGCGGCTCGAGCCTGGGGCTCATGGGCTCCACTTACGGGGTCAGGAACCTCTAGGGCCTACGCCTGTCTGCTTGGAGAAAAGCTCCTGCGTGTTCACCTCCAAGGACTTGCTTCTGCCTCAGACAGTCGAGTGTTTGCACGCAGAACCTGATTCCATCCTCGGTCTCCCTTAGAGACACCCCCTAGTCACCAGGACCGAGGCCAACCCAACCCCATGGACCCCCACAGCCCCAACAAGGCCAGCGCGATCATATCCTCTGCGCATGCTCACACCCGTCTCTGATTGGTCGCTTAGGAGCGTGGGGATGTTTTCCCAGGATGCTCTGCGCTGCTGTCATGTCTGCCCCCGTGTGCCTGTCTCCTCACAGGGGACGCTAGTCCTGTGGGTGTCTGGACGGTACCCGTGGCCACCAGACGCCGGCGACTTTGGTCCCTGCTCCTTTCGCTTCCTCCTCCCCCGTGGGACCCTCGCGGGACCCCGAATTGGGTCCAGTGATGCCGGGGGTGACGTGGACTCCGGAGCGGGCGCTTCTGAGGGGCTTCTCCACGGAGGCCGAGCGGCTGTTGTGCCAGCAGGAGGGGCGCCTTGGCTCAGGTGGGAGAGCTGTGAGGACAGGGATGCCAGCCCTGGGTACAGAGGAGGGGCGAGCAGGGGGGAAGTTTTGTTCGATGGTCTGAGATCTGGTGCTCTGGGAAAGTTCCCGAGAGACAGACTTGAGCTGATTTTCTTCACTTAGGACTGACATGTAAAAGAATTCGTCAGGGGGAAAAAAAATCGCGGTTGTAACAGTATTGAGGCAGGGATGAGCTGGGGATTATGAGGGAATCACGAGAGCACCTGTGTGTTTGGATTGGCCTCCTGGGAGAGAATATTGAAGGTAGGACCTCAGCAAAGGAAACTTCTGTGTCAGTTAGAATCTTTGTGAATTTCCCGAAGAAGGGTACTACGCCTATTGTTGTTGTTGTTGTTGTTATTACTATTACTACTACTATTATTATTATTATTTCTGTGTGACCTCCACTTTGCTGCTCATAGTCATTGTAGGTGTCCTGTAATTCTAGGAGGGGTGGTGTTGGTAGAGTGAGAAGGATTTGCTCAAGACTTAGTGATTCCTGTATAGCCAGCATTCTGTTTATACCGTTTTGTATATTAAAATATCTATGTAATGGATTGTCATTTACACTTAAATTCTGTTGGCTTGCTAGCCTGACTTTATATATATATATATTACAGATATTGGAGTTTTCTTAGACTTGCTGTTGGAAGGGAGCTATGAAGCCATGTTCTTACATTCATTGACACGAAATATATTCAACTCCACAATGATGGCTGGAGAAAAGATTGACAGCTACCTGGAGAAGCAGATAGTAAATTTCCTGGATTGCTCTACGGATTTGGAAGACTTTGGAAGGTAGAATTTTGTTTGAAATTTCCACAGAGAAACATACTTGTGCAGAGGGCTGGAGAGGTGGTTCAGTGATTAAGAGCACTTACTGCTGTTTCAGAGGACTCAGGTCCATTTCCCAGCACCTGCATGGTGGCTCACAACTGTGCAACTCCAATTCCAGGGGATCCAACATCCTCTTCTGACACCCATGGGTACCAGGCACATATGTAGTGCGCATGTATACACCCAGGCAAACCACTCATATACATCAAATGAATAAATAAATTTTGGATACTTTTTTGGCAGCTTGGCACCATAAAGGCCCTGCTATTTAGCAGTTGTTGATAAACCTGAACTCACGATTGTGTCAGGTAATCTCCGTGAGGTCTCTGGTTCAGATCTTCCAGAATGAGAACTGAAAGTGGTGTGGGATCAAAATGAGTTTTGTGTATGAGAATGACACATGCTTGGGAGTCACTGCTACTCTTCCCAGAGCTTAGGTTTGGTAAGTGTTAGCTCTCAACTTGTGTCCTTTTGCTTCTTGTTGTTTCTCATTTTGTTTTGTTTTGGGGCAGAGTCTCACTATGTAGCCTTGTCCTGGAACTCACTATGGAGACCAGGCTGGCCTCAGACTCACAGAGATCCACCTGCTTCTCTGCCTTTCAAGGGCTGGGATGAAAGGCACGTGCTTTAAAGGGGGCAGCTCTTTTCTTTTTCTTTTTTAAATGTGTAAATGTACCTTGAATCCTGCTATTTCTGGGTTACTGAAAGATGCTTGCATTTCCATTTGCTATGTCTCAGATTGTTATCTCTGAAGTGATCAGAGAACTCCATGTGTTTATCATGGAACCCTCAGTTTACCTTTCCTCAGTTAGGATGCCTGCACACTGGTTAAATCTAAGCCTTCTAGAGGCTTCTGTTTTATTGGTATACGTTGTTAGCTTACTTCTTCTCATCCACCCATGATGTCTGTCTAGAATTCTTAGCCATCTCCAAAATGCCTATAATATCATTCTACCCTGATGTTTACAGAACAGCTTCATTCAGTCGTCCGAAGAATAAGCCAACTAACTCGTTAGGCTGTAAAGATAAATAAGACCTAACACAGATTCATAAATAGTTCATAATTCGGTTTCATTTTTTTCTAATTTCCAAGAGTGTCATTCTTGATTTTGTTGTTGTTGTTGTATTACACATTTGACCAGGGGTTTGCAATAAACTCCAGGCTGGCCTCAAACACATAATCCTTTTGCCTTAGCTCCCCAAATGTGGGGATTACAGGGATATACCACCATGCCCAGCTCCAGCTCATTTTTGATTCTGGTTTTTTTTTTCCTCTTTTGCCACTGAGGACTGAACTTCAGACTTCTCACATTCTACCATCGAGCTGTATCCCTAATCCTTTTTTCTACTTTTCATTTTGAGGCAGGGTCTTACTAAGCTGTCCAGGGCGGCTTTGAATGTGTGATCGATCCTCTTGCCTCAGCCTCCTGAGTAGCTGGGACTGCACTCTTCTTTGCTGGCTGATGTGTTTCTCCTGTAGTAAAGTTAGCCTCGTGGTGTCCATTCACATCCCTCCTGATGTGTTTCTCCTGTAGGAAAGTTAGCCTCGTGGTGCCCATTCACATCTCTCCTGATGTGTTTCTCCTGTAGTAAAGTTAGCCTCGTGGTATCCATTCACATCCCTCCTGATGTATTTCTCCTGTAGGAAAGTTAGCCTCGTGGTGTCCATTCACATCCCTCCTGATGTGTTTCTCCTGTAGTAAAGTTAGCCTCGTGGTGCCCATTCACATCCCTCCTGATGTGTTTCTCCTGTAGTAAAGTTAGCCTCGTGGTGCCCATTCACATCCCTCCTGATGTGTTTCTCCTGTAGTAAAGTTAGCCTCGTGGTGTCCATTCACATCCCTCCTGATGTGTTTCTCCTGTAGTAAAGTTAGCCTCGTGGTGCCCATTCACATCTCTCCTGATGTGTTTCTCCTGTAGTAAAGTTAGCCTCGTGGTGCCCATTCACATCTCTCCTGATGTGTTTCTCCTGTAGTAAAGTTAGCCTCGTGGTGTCCATTCACATCTCTCCTGATGTGTTTCTCCTGTAGTAAAGTTAGCCTCGTGGTGTCCATTCACATCCCTCCTGATGTGTTTCTCGTATAGTAAAGTTAGCCTCGTGGTGCCCATTCACATCTCTCTTGATGTGTTTCTCCTGTAGTAAAGTTAGCCTCGTGGTGTCCATTCACATCCCTCCTCTTCCTTTCCCCAGCGCCACATGCACGCACCCAAATGCATTATTCATAGGTGCACCAGAATTGTAGTTTGAAAAGAGGCACTTGGTATGACCTCTTTCAGGGTACACTCTCCAAGAGAATGTGTTGGTGATGGGGAGATTCTGTGTCTCTTGTAGTCAGTATGGTAGCCACTTCTCATACTTGGCTATTGAGTACTTGAAATACGGAAATTGTGAGTGGAGACTGCATTTTAGATTTAAGTTAAATTAGATTTACATCTATGTTAACATTTTTTAAAAGATTATCTATTTTTATTTTGTATGTATGGGTGTATTTCGCCTATACCAGTGTGTTCCGTGTGCATGCAGTGCATGTGGAGGCCAGAAGAGAGCAGCAGATCACATGGAAATGAGTTACAGACAGTTGTTAGCAGCCATGTGGGTGCTGGGAATAAAACCTGGGTTCTCTGGAAGGGCAGCCAGTGCTGAGCCATCTCTACAGCTCTAGATTAAATTCAATTTAAAAGCCACATGTGGCTAATGGATTTATTGGACATTGCAGATATAAACTGTACTATATTAGTATAGTTTCAACTATTACTTGATTTTTTTTTTCCTTTTTATTTTTTGTTTTTCCAGACAGGATTTCTCTGTGTAGCTCTAGCTGTCCTTGAACTAACTCTGTAAACCAGGCTAGCCTTGAACTCGTAGGATCTGCCTGCCTCTGGCTCCTGAGGGCTGGGAATTAAAGGTGTGTGCCACCACTCCTGGCTAAAGGAAAACATTCAGTTGGGGCTGGCTTACAGTTCAGAGGTTTAGTCCATTATTGCCATGGCAGGAATGGCAGCATGCAGGCAGACATGGTGCTGGAGAGGTAGCTGAGAAGTCTACATCCTGATCCATAGACATCAGGAAGAGAGAGACACTGGGACTGGCTTGGGCTTCTGAAATGTCAAAGCCCCGCCCCCAGTGACACACTTCTTCCAACAAGGCCACACCTACTCCATCAAGGCCACATTTCCTAATAGTGCCATTCCCTATGAGCCTATGGGGGCCATAGAAAGAGAAGAAGCCAAAGTATGTATTTGCCAATTATAAGATCTTATATACAAAATCTCCTAAAATTTATACAAAAGCTCTTAGAACTAATTTAATTCAGCAAAGTAACAGTACATATCTGTCTTAGGGTTTCTATTGCTGTGACGAAATACCATGACCAAAAAGCAAGTTGGTAGGAAAAGGACTTATTAGGCTTTCACTTCAGCATTGCTATTGATCATTGAATGAAGTCAGGACAGGAATTCAAACATGGCAGGAGCCTGGAGGCAGGAGCTGATGCAGAGGCCATGGAGGGGTGCTGCTTACTGACTTGTTTCCCATGGTTTGCTCAACCTGTTTTCTTATAGAACCCAGGACCAGCTCCCCAGGGATGGCAGCACTCATCATGGGCTAGGCCCTCTCTTATTGATCACTCAAAACACGAAAATAATAGAAATTATGTCTAGCTTTTAAAAATAAAATTCAAATTACACATTAAACTCAAGCTAGTGGCTGATGAATTTTAAGCATACTTTGGACATATCATGGCACTAAAAACTGAAGCCTTTGTAAACTAACTTACTTGTGTGGGGTCTGTCGGACCTCTGGAAAGACTTCTTCCCCAAGGCTAGAAGAGAGCTGTCCACTCTCACTGTGGAGGAGAAGGTGGAGTGTGAGCTCTGGGGACTGCTGGACTGTCCATCAGACTGCTTTCCTTCCCACGGGGCTGGGGGGAAAACACGGGAAGATAGGTACACTGAGACTGGAAACAAACCATAAGGAACTACAAGACAGCTCTACCAACCCTGACAGCCTGCCTTATCTATCTCATGGTAGGAGAAAAGTGACTCCCTCAAGTCAGCCCCAGACTTGCATGCAGCTCCTCCCCCGACCCCAATAAATCTAATAATTAAAAGAGAGTAAAATAAAAACATGAAACCATGCCCCCTGGAAACCACAAGTCACAGTCTACAATGCATGGAAGTCAATCTAAGTCATACAGAAGGGAGAAGAAGAGAGTGAGTAGCGGTATTGAAGGGAAGGCAAAGCCGCCAGTGAACCAGAAAGAAGACTTGTTACAGGCAAAAGGGTGAAGTTTGGTCTCCAGCAACTTAGCTACATGCTGGTGCCTCACCTCAGCCCGGAAAATTCTAAAGTCCCATAACATCCACAAGTTAAACACTGCAGACAGTCGGAAGTTAAGATTAAAAGGCAGAATAGGGTTGTGATATATATATTGCACAGATTGGCCTTGAGCTCACTATATAGGTCAGGGTGATCTAGAACTGGACACGACCTTTTACCTTAGTCTCCTGAGTACTATGATTGATAACCATATGCCACCACATCAAGCTGCTAGATGTGGGATTTGTTCCTCTTTTGCTTTGTTTTGAGACAGGATCTCACTGGCTTTCCTGCCTAGAATTCAGAGATACCTACATCTGCCTCCAGAGTGCTGGGATTAAAGGCATGCACGGCCATCAAACCTAGGTGTTCATTTGTTGTGTTTTAAGTTATTTAGTGTGCAACTATGGGCACCTGTGTGCCATAGCACACATACGAAAGTTAGAGGACAACTTGTAGGAGTTGGTTCTCTCCTTCATTTTTATGTGCCCAAGGAATCAAAAACAGGTTGTCAGTGCCTTCACATGCTGAACCATCTCAGCACCTCAGGTCAGATGCTCTTAATGTTAGTGGACTCAATACTACCACTGAGCATTGTGATGAGCTCAGAGATAGGAGGTAGTGGGACAGAGGTCTCTATGGC